CGCCTTGCCGCTCGTCGGAGGCCGGTACGATCGTCGGACGCCGCTAGGACAGCTAGCTGGTCGTGCGCGCCGCGACTCACTTCGTCGGCCTTCTCCTTCGCCGACGCCCGCAAGCTGTTCAATAGTTTGCCAAGGTACAAAAATGGACTCTGCCGACGAGTTCTTTTTTCACAATTTCCTTTTGCGACTCCGACGATTCGTCCTCCGATGACGAGGAGGAGATATTGGCTTCCGTGTTGGTCCATCACCACCTCAACAGCCAGCGGCCATTGTTCCGTGGCTCCATTCTGGGCCACCTTCCGGCGTTGAATCGCAACCGAGAGAGCGGGCATTTCCTTCTTTGGAAGGACTACTTTGATACAACAAACCCGTTGTTCAAACATCAGAAATTCTGCCGCCGTTTCCGTATGAGTAGGCATATTTTCAACCATATTAATTAGAGAGGGGGTGGTCGGCTATGATGACTATTTCGAGTGCAAAAAGGATGCCGTTGGCAAGATTGATTTTTCCTCTTATCAGAAATGCACTGCCGCCATCCGAATGCTTGCATACGGAGTGCCCAGTGATCTCATTGACGAGTACGTACGTATGAGCGAGTCTACTTGCCTAGAGTCCATGTATAAGTTCTGCAAGGCTGTTATTGCTGTGTTTGGTCCTGAGTACTTGAGAGAGCCGACTGCTGAAGATACAGCCCGTTTGTTGGCGATGAATGCCAGTAGGGGCTTCCCGGGGATGCTTGGTAGTATAGACTGTATGCATTGGGAGTGGAAGAACTGCCCTTCTGCTTGGCAAGGGCAGTATAAGAGCCATGCCAGGGCTTGCATTGTCATACTTGAGGCTGTGGCGTCTCATGGATCTCGCACTCTTTTCTTGGCATGGCCGGATCACACAATGATATTAACATGCTTCATCTCTCGCCGGTGTTTGCTAGGCTTGCTGAAGGCAACAACCCACCGGTGAAATTTACTGTCAATGGCCACACCTACGACAAAGGATACTATCTGGGTGACGGTATCTATTCTCAGTGGATCACTATTGTCAAGACAATACCCAACCCTGTCGGAGAGAAGAGAAAAAGATTTGCCCAAGAGCAAGAGAGTGCTAGGAAGGATGTCGAGCGTGCCTTTGGTGTTTTGCAATCTCGATGGGGCATTGTTCGGTATCCTGCTAATACCTGGAGCACGCAGAAACTGTGGGAGGTGATGACTGCTTGTGTGATCATGCATAATATGATTGTAGTAGACGAGCACCCGGAACGTCTGTAGGATCAAGGGTTTCAGTTTCAGGGTGAGAAAAAATTGTGCCTGGGCATGGAGTAGTGGCAACGTTTGAACAGTTCACCCAATTTCATCAAGACATGCGTGATTGGGAAACTCACATGCAACTGCAAAATGATTTGGTTGAGCATATGTGGGCTCATATTGGCAACAAATAGATGTATCTTCTTTTATTCGTTTGCAAAACTATCTGAGAGCTATGTGAGACCTTTTTATTTTCATTTGGCTTGTAATAAACTATGCTATTTTATTCGGTCCAAAACGATTTTATTTTAAACTATGCAATCATGCAAAAATAGGGGGGCCAGGCAGCCACGCCGACACATATGGGTCGGCGCGTTGGGCGCCCTGCCGACCCATATCTAAAACAGGGCGGACGCCGGGCGGGCGGCCGACCCAAACGGACAAAAAGCAGACGAAATTGCCGTCCGTTTGGGCCGCCCCATTGGAGTTGCTCTAACGCCGTAAGGGACAATAAATTCGGTTTTCCTCCCTTACGCTGCACCTAGCCGAAGTCATAAAACCTATAAGGGAGGATACATTTTACTCGAGCCCCTATCCAACCCCTAGCGCGCCGACATGTACGCGAACCTTGCTCTCGACGGCCACAACGACGCAGGCACCGACGACTGGAGGGCATGTTTTCCTGTCCAGCTAGATGTAACGCTTCCCCAAGTACAAGTGTCGTGACTTCTACGTTGCCAGCGAGAGCTAAATCGCCGCCTTGCCTGTCCTGCTGTCGCCGGAGTGCGCGTGCCAATTGTTTGATGAAATGCTTAAAGCCAATTATAAGTTTTACTCCGCTAAATTTAGGGGATCGGCTAGGTCCGGCCAAAACTTAGTAGAGTAAAAATACTCCACTAAGGGTTTACTCTGCTAGATCCTCCTCTATTTTTAGGGGAGCAGTTAGAAATGGCCCAAGACATAAGGTGGTCAGTCGACGTAATTTTTCTTTTGTAAATGTTTGCCTTATGATGTTTTTTTAACGCCGAGGCAAAAGATTTGTCTTATGATGTTGCAACACATACTGCATGAGGGGCAAAATGGTCTTTTCACGTGTCATTTAGGCTTAAAATGGACGGAAGTGTCGTATAGGGAATAAAATTTAGAATTGACGTCAAATAGGGAAGAAAAACTTTTCCAGTGTCAAATAAGGAACCAGATTTTAAGACAGTGTCAAATAAGGAATTTTCTCTTACTCTTGCCTATCTCATTTCGCGCTATGCCCAAGCTAACTTGGTTGGACATCATGCTTGTATTGTTTGTAAGATTGTAGCCGTTGAAACCCTAACAATATACTCCCTCCGTCTGAAAATATTTGTCATCAAAATGAATAAAAAGAGATGTATTTAAAACTAAAATATATCTAAATACATCCTCATTTATTCCTTTTGATGACAAGTATTTCCGAAGGGAGTACACTTTCGCTATAGGCATCAGCGCCATCACTGAGGTTGTTTGCGTTATTGGCCGGAGTGGGAAGATAATGAGCTTTGCTAGCGTTAGTGTATCTATCGATATCTCTTGCTTTTCAACACAAAGCAGGAAAAAGCAAAACCACTCACATGCATACGTACAATAATATTACCTGCAGTATAAAGCACATCAACAACTAAAGCAAAGCAGATAATGTATATAGGGTGGTATAGCGGCGCACATATTCTCACCACGAACGAAATGCTCATGCAAGTAAACTATTGGCCTGTTGCTCACCGACGAATATACCCGCACAACTCGTCAAGGAGCAGGAAGAAAGTGTGCGTAAAGGTGCGCGCGTTATTGCTCATCCACTCGTCAGGTTAACTAGCATGTACAATCAATCCTTGTTAATTTCACTTTCACAATACGAACCACACATGTCAAATTCGCAGCATCCATCTTTCGGTTACGTATCAGGTAAGCTATCTCTGTGTGGTTCTAGCTATACTACTACCTCTGTACCAAAACAGAAGGCAGTTTTACACGCTAGTTAGTCTAAAAGTCATCTTATGTTTTGATACGAAGGGAGTATTTAGCAAGCTAAAATACACCAAAAGGAGCTTAGATTGGTATTGAGACGCCGGTGGAGGAATCTAAAAACAATTCTTAATTTGTTTCATCTGAGAGTCCATTTGGACAACTCTTCTCACCGGAAACAACCTAGTCGCTACGCAAAGTGTACCATATAAAGATCACACCAAATTTTGAACATAACTC